GTATTCAAGTGTGTTTCCTGCAAGCATAAGGCAGATGCCTTATACTCTTCTAAAAGGAACTCAACATCTGTAAGGTTAGTGAATAAGCCTCGGCAGTTCCACTGAAGAATTACAGAGCCCATTTTAAAGGATAAAAGATTTTATAAATGGAATAAAGCATTCTACATTTGCTACACCCTAAGGAGGAACCACCGGCTTTTTTCCTTTTTGTTTTGATTTAGCGGTTTGCCATTCCATGTCCTCCTGATCCGAGGAGGGACCTGAAGAGTCGGCAATGTCAACAGTTCCCACTGCATCCTGAACCTTGGATGCAGGTTTGCCAGTTCCGACGTGGTCGGAGACCTGAGCCACGAGTTTCCGGCCACGGCCAGATCTCGCCGAAGAAGTCTTCGATGTACCAGGCCGAGACCCTCCTACATTCGCGCTTTCAACGTCTTTTGACGTTGATGGAGCAGCAGGTGGGCCCTGTTGCTCCCTAACAAGGCGGGCCGCCTCCGAGGAATTGGAACGACGGCCTCGCTCTTCATCTTGAGAAGAGCCACTGGCACGAGGCTGCCGGTCAGCCGGAGCTCGTGCCTGAATCGACTGGGGAGTCTGTGTGCTCCCAGCATTACCTGGGGCACCCTGCTTCCCCGCAGATTGTTTCGGGGCCTGAAAGGGGCCTGCCAAGTCCTCAAGAGAGAACTGAGTGGCCCTGGATTCCATACGCGGTGCAGGGCCCCTGCGCACCGCGTCGGAGTAGGTACCTTTGGAAATGAAAGAAAACCTTTGTTTTGCTTCAGGGTATGATAAGTTCTCTTTGGCTCGTAAGGCAAGTATTTCCTTTTCTTGTCGCCACAGCGGGCAGGACCGAGAGTAAGCAGGGTGAGGACCCCTGCAGTTAGCACAGGAAACTGAACCTTCACAGATGTCGGCCACATGGTCGTGGCTCCCACACTTTGCACACGTCTCCCTCCCCCGACAGCTTCGCGATCCGTGACCAAAACGCTGGCAACGGAAGCATCGCTGTGGGTTCGGGACGTACGGTCTGACACGGCAGTTCAGGTAGCCAGCTTTGTTGAGTGCAGGAAGCGTGTGACGTTCAAACGTCAGGATAAGGTGCTTAGTTTTCACCTCTGCACCATCACGCCTCATCATAATGCGTTTGACCGCCACTACTCGAGATGCCCGCAGGCCTTCCAAGATCTCGTCTTCATTGCTGGAAAGTAGATCATCTTCTGAAATCACCCCTCGAATGGTGTTGAGGGTTCTGTGTGTGCTCACTGTTACCTGTATGTCACCTAGAGATGTCAATTTTAGAAGAGTAATGCTCTGGGACTTTTTTGCAACTTCAACTAGCAGGTCACCAGAATGCAGTTTCTTCGCTTTGTAATCACCACCTATTTGACTGTCGAGAACTTTTGCTACAAGGAACGGTGACATCTTTGATAGAGGATTGTCAGGGACCTCGGAGTGGATCACCATAAATCTTGAAAAAGTTTCATCTTCTTTATCTTTCACTATGACTGTTCGTTCGGGACGATGCCTCTTCGCGGCACGTCCAGAACTGGGGGTTTTGGTTTGGGGGGTTGCCATAAGAGGCGAAGTTTGTTCGGAACCTGTGGTGTGCCGCCCACCACGGAGCCCAACAAGGGAATAGATAACGCACCATAACAAAAAGGGCTTTGCTGGAAACGTTATGCTATTAGCACTGCCCAGGAACTATACCCAAGTGTGGTACTGGACAAGGGGTCTGTCGCCACCCAAGGTTAGCCCTTGCCGCCAAAGAAGTTGAAAAAGGAAAGAAGAGAAATGAGAAGAGTGAAAAGGAGGGGAAGACAAGGGTGAAAGTAGAGAGGGGATAGTGGAAGATGTGGCGGCTAGACTGAATCATCCTGGCCGGGCCTTACCAGGACTCCCGTCTATGAGAAGCAGGGGCCAAAGTGGTGTATTGCCTTGCCCGGGGGGCCCCGAAGGGTCCAAACCTACCCCGGGCTTGGCTCAACCACCAGGATGCCCTTTTCCCCAGACACGGGACAGCCACGCACAGCCAGACGTGGGTGGGTCTTACCCACTTGTTACTCAGGGTCCGTTATGTAGCCAATGTGGCTGGGGTCCGTGGTGACGCTACTCACCAAGCACCAAGCACCTAAGGCGCAGGTGCCCCCTGCGGGGCTCGGGGTCCGTGGAGACGCCACTCTCCAAACACCTGCTTTCACAAGTGCCCCCTGCGGGGGCTTTACGTCGAGAAGGGAATGGCTGAGAGGGCCAAGAAGCAACAATTCCTTCAACAGTGTGTTGGTCTATATTTTCTGTGCAACATGTGGGACACAGCAACATGTGTTGTTAATGTGCTTCTTTGAATCTAGCATACAAAAAGGGAAGCCCCTTAATATCTTGTCTCGTGCAATAAATATTTATTTTTAACGCACTTAGAATTGTGTTTTGTCTAAGGCTCTCAACATGGTCCTTAAAAATATCTTGGCTGGGCCTTGGAAGTCCTTCAAAACCCTTGAATTTTTGTCCTTGAGGCCAGCATGAATGCTGATCCTGGCAACATAGAGCTCAGTTCTCCGATCTGCAGGTGTTCAAAGACCATGGTGGCGGAGGTCCTTCTCATGATCTTAACATTGTTTTGCAAACATGTTGAGTTCCTGCAACTTTTGAACACAACATTTCGCTGTGAAGTGCTACATGGTTCAAAGTACCTGTTTAATGGCCTGTTTTTCTAATCATCTGACATGATGTCGATCCATGTCCATTCCGACCACTGCTCCGCCTATATGGTTACAAAAGACACTTTTAAGCAAACATGTGAGTTGTGCTCAGTGCCAAACTTCTGCACTTGTAGAAAAATTGTCTTATTTCATCAATTTGCCTTTGGCTCCCTAGCTGAAACGCAAGCTAGAAAGCAATCCTGGCATTCAAAACAACCTGGATTATCGATTCCGAAGGAAAAAGAAACACCAATCTAACATTGATCGTCGTCGGCGAACGTCACCGAGTTGCTCGTGTGACTTTTCTGTACACTACGAAGCCGCTCTGCGCGGCTGAGAACTGTGGTAATGACTTGGCGAACAGTGATATGCCGAACCACAAGTTTACGGACGACGAGAAACTTCGTGCCTTGTGGATGCGGCTCGCACGTCCGTCGTTTCCGACTTGGGGTCCTACGCCTAGCGATCGCTTGTGCGCCGATCACTTTCGTGATGAAGACTACGAGCGCAGTTCCAAGGTAATGAAGAGCTTGGGTTTGTCGGCCAAAAAAATACGACTAAATCGGGGAGTTCTGCCTTGTTTTTTCTCCAAGGAGAGAAACGCCGACCCAATCAGCGGCCACCTCGAAAAGCGCCGCAAAATGGTAAGTAAGGACCTAGTGTTTTGTCCTAAGATCTTGCGCACTAAAGTAAAGCATGAGATATTTAGTGCGACTTGGCATTTTTAGGTGGTCAGTAGAGATATGCTCTTTTCTCCTGGGCGTTAAACGACTCTGCGTGATGCCATTAACCTCCTCGACGAGGGTACGGACGCTGGTTGGGAGGCAGAATACGAAGCGGCAGGATCATCTGTTTGTACAGGTAAGTTAATTGTCGTTTAGCGTCGACACGTGTGCGTGCGTGTGTGTGGTAGTGGCTGCACCAGCGCAATTAATATCAGTTGTGGGTGAGCGTTTGGACTGTCCCTGCGTTCTACCCCAGTTTCCTCGATATTTTTTTTTCCGAGGAAGGGGGGGGGGTTGCTTGCTTGGTTGGTTGGTTGGGTTGGGTTTGTTTCGGTTGGGTTAAGTTGGGTTGTTGGTTTTAGTTTCATTTTCTACTGCCTCAGTTTATCGCCCTGTAGGCCCTATGTTTGGCGTTGCTGTTACCGTTTCTTTGAAGGTAACGGAACTGACGATCACGAGGATGACAGGCCTGATTGGAGGGCGAAACTAACCAACCATACGCATTTGCGAACCTGTTCGCAAAGATGCTTGACGCAGCGCCGGGGTCAACGAGGGATCACCTCACACACAGACCTTCACAAGAAACACGAGACACGTCAGGAGCGTGTAGAAGTCAAACCAAAGTCGATAAGTCAACTGACTCTGAGGGTCACTGACCAATTACAAAACATAATTCCCAACCAAAAATTACTTCACTTGGCTCCTCGAAGCACAAGCAAACCTACGATCAATGCATCTCTTCTAAACACATACACACACAAAAAACGAAAAAGAAATTAAAGAGATAAACAAAAACAAAAAATTAAAAAAATAAGCAGAAAAAAAAATCTGAAAAGAGCTCGCAATTGATTCTTTGTGACGTTCCGGACGGTCCAACGGATAACCGTGGCTACGACCAACAATAACAGCACAAGGAAAGACAAACTAAAGAAAAATAAGCTGGAATTTGTGAATGCAATTTACCAGCAGTGGTGTACCGAAACTGGCGGTGAAATCTGTGTATTAGAACTCCAAAAACTTAAGTTATTGCGGTTGGTTCCTAGCTAGTTTTCTTGTCCGAAAGCCTCGGGGGGTGGGCGATGACTCGGGATATTACGGTAAGCACGCGCAACTGCAAGCCTGCCGAATTTCGCCTCATGTGCATGGGAACATCATTGCATGACAGAGGCACTAGCCGGGATGCTTGCAATCCATTGTTTCACATTTGCTTACTTTTAACTAAAATATGGCACGTCAGGAACCAGTCAAATGGTGTCAAGCGGTTTTTCAAAATTGCTCGGCAATGCCTACAGCACTGTACACGTGTGGGATGTCTCAGCAATAAAAACACAAGCGGCGAGCAATAAAAACACGCCACATCAGAACACAACACAAAGTGCCCTTCGTATGTACAGCACTTAAAACAAATATTTTTATTTTTCTAATAATATCTGCTCCAAAAGCCACTTTTTCTGCTCCGAAACACTGTCTTGGCTGCTCCAAAAGCCACTTTTACTGCTCCAAAACACTGTTTTGGCTGCTCCAAAGAACACTTTTGCTGCTCCAAAACAGATTTGGCTGCTCCGAAAGGTTCTCCAAAATGGCTTGGGCCATTCACATCAGTGACATGCATAAAGCCTATTCATTCATTCAGGCAAAGGAGTACCTGGAGCAGACTTACCAATCAGCAGAGTAGGCAGCTGCCTGGGGCATCAAAATTTAGGGGGCGGACAGTTTCACAAGATAGCTAGGTTGACGGCCACCCTTTGCAACTAGACCGTATACAGATCACGAAGAAAGCAGGAGTGTGCTTTTGGCCTGTAGGACTAAACGCTACGACAAAAATAAAGGAAAGAAATGCGCATTAGTGGTTGACTATAAAAAAAATCTCGCTATATTTATGGTGCCGTGCATGTTCATCCAGCCTATTCCGATAGCAGCTGGTGCCATGATTTCTTCATTGGTTCAGACCGCTAAGCTTACGTGAACAAAGGCCGAGTGCATAGAAAGGAACAACGCTTTCAGTGTGCGCATGACTTTTGCCTAGAACATCAAAATGTTAAGTCCGCCTCTGAGGATTACATACTAGGGAGACCCAAACCGTTTTGGCCTCCACCTCTGTTTCACGCCCATTGGCATTATGGGAACCCTGTGTCTTTTGCAAACAGGTATGGAACAAGCACCAGGACGAGCTGTTCACAGCGGCAGCGGGAAAGCAACTGACCATCGCTGGCGATGGGAGAGCGGATTCTCCTGGACACTGTGCCAAATATGGCACGTACACCATGCTCGACACCGACCAGAACAAGGTTCTTCATGTGGAAACTGTGCAGGTATGTACACAGATAATATAGATGCTCTACTTCCTACACTGTCATAAGCACATAAAATTTTACAGATGGAACAGAATAAATATCTGCAGAGTACTTGTCATTTTGTTTTTGTAATGTGTCATCATTAATATTAAACACAAAAGTGTAGACTACAAAATGAAGAAATAGGAGATAGGCCTATCTCTGCCTCTGCAGTGACTTTTAAGCAGTAATTGAAGTACATACACCCCAGTATGCATGCCGGCGAATACTGAGGAAGCACCGACTAAAACTTTGGAGGTAATTAAGAAAAAATGGAGGATGGGTGCTTGTTAGGTCCGTATACAAAACTGCAGGAGCAGCATATGGTTGGGTGGGCTCTTGCTTGGTCCATGCACAGAAATTAAAGGGGCAGGTGTTTGGGGTACTCGGCAAATGGCCGTTCTTTGCCGAACCAGCCAACGTATAGAAGCAGCAAACTCCCGCAGAATAGCACACACAGACACATTGAGAAAATTTGTAAAAGTGTATACCATTGATGCACATTCAGTCATTGTCACTAAATCGAGCCAACGCAAGGACCATAGCTCACTAAGCAAGGAACTAACCTGAACTATGTTGGAAGCATTTTTTGGTCCCAAGAAGTATGGGCTCAGAATTACATGCGCTAGAGCCCTTCACCCGTTCCGTCACAACCAATCTAGCACCGGTCACAGAGAGAATGACCACCCATAACGAAGCGCCTGATGTGTCTTTCGCATATTTTTGCACTTTCTTAATATAGAGAAGTGGGCATTTGATATATTCTTTGCTTATTTTCTAAATGTTTAAAGAGTAGGGGGTGGGCACTTGTTGTGAGCCGGGCACATGCTCTGTATTTTGTGTTATATTTATTTCATGATTTATTTAGTTTGTGCTGCAGAATATTCTCTTCATTTCATTTCAGTGCAATGAAACCGGTGGGAGCTACCATATGGAGCTAGGAGGCCTCAGGAGGTCACTCAATATATTCGAGGCTCACTCCCTGATTGTAGGCGTCCTGGTGACAGACAGGCACCCCCAGCTGAATGCTTGGTTGGCACGGGTGCATCCTGACATCTGCCACCTTTTCGACTGCTGGCATGTGGGAAAGGGTAAGATTTATAATGGTGTTACCATTTCCAATTAGTTTAACTATCATCAGCTTGGGTGATGATAGTTGCAACAATTAAGAGAGCCATGTCCTACTGAAGTGGAATAACATTCCAACCTAAACTGTTATCTGCAAATCAGTGCTCTCACTGCATGTCTGTAGGAAGACAAAATTTTAATGGTGTTTTGCCAACTTTCATGAAAAGGAGGTCTGTCAATTATAACAGCGCTCTATTGCTGCTACATTTGTAGAGGGTTTGAGGTATGCATGGCAGGTTCCAGCGGACACTGGCATTTGAAAAAAGCCTAATGGTTCTCCAATGGTTACCCTGACTGCCTCATTTTCACTTTGGGCACCACATTGTATTTCAGCCATCAAGAAGAAGATGGTAGCAGCTGGCAAGTCACTGCACGCAGAGGAGCTGAGCTCCTGGATCAAGGCGGTTGTCAACCACCTGTACTGGTGCGCCGGGACAAGTGCCGGGAACCAAGACCTGATCCTGGCAAAGTGGAAATCCCTGGTGGCACATGTGGCAGATATACATTCCCACCCTGACCCTCTCTTCCCAGAGTGTGAGCACAGACAGCTGCACAAGAAGTGGCTACAGGAAGGTATGGACAGATTTGTACTTTTTTTGAAGTTAGAAATATACTGACCACATTTTACCATGCCGACATCATTGTCGCAGGCTCTCCTGCTCACCACAAGCTGCAGGAAATTGTGCTGTCCAAACACCTTCTCCAAGACATCCCTCGACTTTCCACATCAGCGCAGACTTTTGCAACCGAGTGCTTCCATAGCACTCTGTTGCAGTTTGCACCAAAACAGGTGCACTTCAGCTTTCGCAGCATGAAGGCAAGGTGTGTAAAAAATGTGTGATTTTTCATTCAGATGTTTCTTAGTAATGCATTTACTGTTCAGAACCTACCTGGCGGCTTTGCACCACAATGCAAATGCGGGGAGGCCCCAAGCAGTCACCAAGGGTGGGGACCTGCGGTGGGCGGTCAAGTATCCGAAAGCTAGGAAGGGGCCTGTAGTTTCTGCGCGCAAGACTGACGGCACCTATGGTATTGCCTAAGCTCATTTTTGCACAAGAGTGGTGCTAATTCTTAAATTGCTTTGACCGTCTCATTACAGGGTATCTGGAGGAGCTAATGGCAGTTGTGCTGGACCTCTGCACAACCATGCCGTCCTACAGGGCCGCTGCTGCAGCGTACAGCCAGGATGCACCTCCATTTCTCTCAAGTGCCTATGAGCATGAGGACAAGCAGGTGCTGGTGGAGCGCCACTGCTCTAGGTTTAACCTGTAGCTGGTTCTGACGGAGCTCTGGCGGGTACACCACATTGATTTTGTACAATCCACCACCTGTAAGGCAAATTTGGGAGTTTAACGTGCCAAACCAACGAGGCAATCTTGCACGCCCCAGCGGAGGAATGGGGATTAATTTTGACTACCTGGGAAACCCCGACCCCCAGACCCCGGGTCGGTCGACAATGCCGTCACTTCTAGTTGGAGGTGGACACCTTTGTGGGTTACGGCGTCTCTTAGCTGGACATCAACGCGAAGCCACCATGAACAATCGCGTATGCATACATTTCCTAATGGTGAATACGACCAAGTTCAGGCAGGGGCCACTGTAACGGTCAACGTTGATGCATGACCTAATCTGCTGCAATTGTTGCAGATGGCTTGGCACGTCGGGCTCTGCAATCTCTCCAAACATTATCGTCGCCTCTGCGAATTTGATTGATTGATTGATTGGGGGTTTATGGCGCATCAGCAACTAAGGCTATATTGCGCCAAGCTTAGACTATTGTAATTCAGGTTTAAGAAGAGGAAAGAGCTATAGTAGCGAAATATATGATAAAACCATGAACATGAATGTGTATAAGTGTAAGCAATATGACAATGAGTTTAGGATAGAAAGTAAAATCACAGTCGGTGTAGAAGGCCGATAACTGTGAGGAAATTAAAAACAACTATATGGAATGAGCGGTTCGTCACCTAGTAGTAGGGCAAGGTGTAGTGGAATGTGTTCTTTATAAAGCGGTGAGTAGTGTTTATACCGGCATTGGTCATACATAGGGCATTCAATGAGTATGTGCATAATACTTAGAGGTAGGTTGCAGTGCACACATTCAGGGGCATCCTCCCCGCTCAAGAGGTGTCCATGTGTAAGACGAGTATGACCGATTCGTAGCCTACACAGTACGACTTCATAAAAGCGCTCCCGATGTCGGGCGCTCTCCCACTCGCCTAGAAGAGGTTTGATTGCATGTAGTTTGTTGCCAGTTTCGCCGTTCCACTGCAGCTGCCACTTTGCTTTGATGCAACGTTTCAGAGAATTGTGGTAATCTTTGTAGGATATTTGGTGTGTGTCAATTTCTCTATCATTAGCAGAACTGGCTGCACTATCAGCTGCTTCATTTCCAGGAATGCCAACATGGCTAGGAACCCAGCATAAGACTATGTCAAAATTTTTCGTTGCAGCCAGGATTATCTTGTACTTTAACTCAGAAACCAGTGGGTTTTTTACACGGTTCATTGATGCGACAGCCTTCAGAGAGCTTAAAGAGTCGGTGTAGATTACAGCGTGAGAAAGGCGTTTTTTGATTATGTAATCAACAGCTAACAACAAACCATAAAGCTCTGCTGTTAGTATAGAGGCTTTTGAATTTATTCTCTTCACCTGATTTACCGATGGTCCCACCATAGCACAGCCTACTACGGAGTCTTTTTTTGTCCCGTCTGTATAAAAACTGGCATACTCGTGATATTTGGTCTGAAGCTCAAAGAAGTTCTGCCTTATGACTTCCTGTGGAACATTCTTTTTGTTATACTTGGTCAGTGTAAGATCGCAATGTATCTGGCAGTTGTTCCATGGAGCTATATCCGGAGGGTATTGGACCAACTGAGGCTTTGCATCCATCCCAACGGATTGTGCTGCAGTATTATTCCTCATAGAAAAAGGGGGGACTGTGGAAGGTTTGTTTTCAAATGTGCGTTGGAACTTGATCGTCTCAATATTATCTCGAACGGGGTGCTCCGCGACCGAGCGAATCCTGACAGAGTACATAAAACCCAGGGAAAACCTCCTATACTCAAGGGACAATTCGTTTGCTTCCGCGTAAAGGCTAAGCGCTGGGGAGGTACGAAATGCACCAGTAGCCAGTCGCAGTCCTTGATGATGAATAGGATCTAACATCTTTAGAACTGATGCCCGAGCAGAGTTATAGACAATACAACCATAATCAAGCTGGGAGCGAATGACTGAGTGATAGATACGCAGCAGACACAGTCGGTCAGAGCCCCATGATGCATGTGACAAGACCTTAAAGATGTTTAGAGATTTAAGGCACTTGAGTTTTAATCTCTTAATGTGTGGAACGAAAGTCAACTTGGAATCGAACACAAGGCCCAAAAACTTGTGCTCATTTTTTACAACAATAGGAGAACCATACATGTTCAAAGACGGTTCCTGAAGAGCACCACGTCGATGAGAAAAGTTGACACAAGCTGTTTTTTCGGGAGAAAATTTAAACCCATTCGTATCGGCCCATCTGACCAAATTATTGACCGCAAGTTGAACGCGACGTTCACAAACTGAGAGATTACAGGATGAAACGGAGATCTGGAGATCATCAACATATAAGGAATATTGCACCGAAGGAGGAATTACACGGCCAATGGAATTAAGTTTGACGATAAAAAGAGTGACACTCAGTACACCCCCCTGAGGGACTCCATTCTCCTGTAAAAACTCCCTAGAGAGAGTTTTTCCCAGCCTCACGCGGAACATACGGTGCTGCAGGTAACTCTGTATGGCACTCAACATTCGGCCACGGAAACCAAGATCGAATAAATCTTGCAGAATGCCGTAACGCCAGGCTGTGTCGTATGCTTTTTCCAAATCAAAGAAGATGGAGAGACACTGTTGTCTGTTGACAAACGCCTCACGTTCGAAGGTCTCAAAGCGGACGAGATGATCGACAGTGGACCGTGCTGACCGAAAGCCACACTGGAACTTATCAAGGCAGCTGTTTCGTTCTAGAAAAAACATGAGTCTCTTGTTAATCATTGTTTCTAATGTCTTGGAAAGACAGCTAGTTAGAGCTATTGGTCTGTAGCTAGATGCACAAGAGGGATCTTTGCCGGGCTTCAGCACTGGTACAACCACAGCGGTCTTCCAGGAGGATGGAAAGTGGCCCTCGAGCCAAACTCTATTAAAAAGGTACAAAATTAGCTCCATAGTGGATGGATGAAGATGTTCGAGCATTTTATAATGAATACCATGTGGTCCAGGGGCAGTTTGTTTGGGACAAAGAAGTGCCATTTGAAGCTCATATAATGTAAATAGAGTATTATAGGGTTCGTGCGTGCCACCTGATGAGTTAACAGCTTTTTTTTCTGCATTTATCTTGTGTCGCTGAAACGTCTGAGTATAATGTTGGGAACTGGAGACATACTCGAAATGCTCGCCAAGGATGTTGGCCTGTTCCTCAAGACTTGTAGGACACACTCCATTTCGACTCAGGAGTGGGACAGTGAATGCTCGGTATGAGCCGTCAATTTTATGTATGCGATCCCAGACTTCCTTCGCAGGTATAGTGCTGTTAATTGAGGAAGTGTACCCTCTAAAACTTTTTTTCTTTGCTTGTCTTCGAATCCACCTCGCCTGGGCCCTTTTTCTTTTAAATTCAATTAGATTGTTTGCTGTAGGGTAGCGCCTAAAAATACCCCAAGCTCGATTTTGTTCTTTTTTGGCCAAACGGCAATCTTTGTTCCACCAGGGCTTAGGTCTCCTGGGTAGATGCGAGGACGTCATGGGGATGGAAAGAATGGCAGCCTGTAAAATGTGGTGAGTGATATGTTCAGTGGCTCTATCGATATCGAGCTCGTCAAGTGATGTGCATGCCAAAAGAGACGATTCTTTGAAAGTTGACCAGTCGGCGTTTTCAAATTTCCATCGAGGAGAGCGCATAGGGACTGTCATGGGAAGATGGTTAAATTCTAAAATGATGGGAAAGTGGTCACTTCCGTGAGGATTCGGGATGACCTTCCATGAAAACAAGGAGAATAATGATGGGTGACAAATAGATAGGTCAATGGAAGTGAAAGTGTGAGTTGTTGAACTAAAATATGTGGCTTCATTTGTGTTAACTAGGCACAATCCCGAGGAAAGAAGAAAGCGTTCAATGAAAGCCCCTCTGGGATCTCGTCTGCCACTCCCCCACAAAGGATTGTGTGCATTAAAATCTCCCAAAAGCAGAAAAGGTGGTGGGAGCTGGCTAACAAGGTCTTCAAGCTCTTCAATCTTTAGCTGAAAACTGGGGGGTATATATAAGGAACAAACTGTAATTAAACGATCTAACAAAATGCGGGCTGCCACAGCCTCCAGCGAAGTCTGCAGAGTCACTTCGCTACATGGGGTTGAGCGTTGCACTACAACTGCAACGCCTCCAGATGAATGAACGGCCTGTAATCGGTCCTTGCGAAACACCTGGAAGTGCTTTAATATATTAGTGTGGCTCGCTTTTAGATGCGTTTCCTGCAAGCAAAATGCAATGGGGCCGTGATCATCTAGTAGCTGGCTCACATCGTCATAGTTAGGAAGGAGGCCTCTACAGTTCCACTGAAGAAAAAGAGACATTGATATTCCAAAAAGGAAGTCAAATCAATATATATATACCAGAGAAAGCTAGAACATAAATTTACGGGGCTTTTGGTGCCTCAACACGTGGGATTGTTTTTTTCTTAAAAGTGTCCTTTGGTCGTCCTACAACCTCAGAGGAGACCAGAGGAAGAGACTCTGTTTCAGGGAGAGACTGCTCGTCTTCAGAGAGCGGTAGGCTCTCGTCCATTTTTTCATCCGGCGAGAGCATTGGGCCCTTGGGCGGAGGAGGAGGTTGTTCTGTCCGCCTGGGCTTCAGGTGGCTGCAGGAAGCACGAGGAGAGAGCCCTCGACCCCTGCCAGAAGGGCCAGCTAGGGCCGCTGATGGCACCTCTGGTGCCTTAGAGGGAGTGGTACCCTCCTTGGAGGGTACAGCACCCTTAGAACATGCAGGTGACTGAGTGTGCGTCACCTTCAGAGGTTCAGAAGGGGACCCATGTGGAGAGGACAGGTCTTCCGAAGAAGTCTGTGTCTCCACAGATGCCGTAGACAGTGGGGGTCCCCTCAACACTGCCTGGGCATAAGAACCCCTTGCCTGAAAGGCAAGCTGTTCTTTGGCTGCTTGGTAGCTAAGGTTATGTTTTACTTTAAAAGTGAGGATATGTTTTTCCTCTTTCCATTTTGGACAGGAGCGAGAA